AAATAGATTTGGACCATCCCTTAGAAGCAGCTGCTATGTGCTGGGCCTGTGTCAGTCTGGCAAAATAGAAAGTAACTTTCTCTTCTCAGAGAAAACTCCAACAACCAAGCCTAGCACTCAACCTTTTATATCTGAGTAAAAAGAATAAAGCATGCTGCTTGACTGCACCAGAACCATACCCTAAACAAACCAAAGGGTTGGCTGCTTACCATAAAGTTCTACACATCTGAAAGCAAAGAACAGAAAGGCAGACAAATATTTTTTAAAGCCTAACAGTTCCATACCTTTAAGGCTACATTACAAATATTTAAGGATAGTCTGACCTACTACTGCAACAACTTAAAACTCAAGTACTTACAGTCTAATGTCATCAATTTTCTTAAAAAGCAAAAAGTGGACCTGATGCATCATAGATTATTTCAGCAAAAGTAATGCAAAAGTAAAGACAGGAGTTAGCTTGCAGTACAAACAAGATCACTATGTTACCTGCTGCATTTACAACCCTGTAAGCAAGCCATCTTTCAGCAAGAATGCTGACTTGCCTATGCTGCTAGGAATAAGTACAAATGGAAGCAGTTGTACCTTCAGATGATCTTATCTTTTAGGGCTGCTTCCTTTCTTCCCCAGTTGAAGTCTTTGAGGAAGCTTACTGACTTTATATAACTGTGCACTTTAACCAGTGTCAGCAAGCCTAGAAATTATGCTTAGAATTGTAAGAAATCAAACTGTAAGATATATCCCAGAACAGTGCAAGAAGGGTTACTGATCTTGGGCATACTCTTAAACACTCATAACTCCGAATTTCTGTAACTACATTGGAAGACCTCAAACGGGAGGAGCAGCTGCCAAATCAGCAAGAAGCATGTTAAAGGGAAACTTTAACCCATCAATAATACAGATACTTACAGATAGAGAGCACTTTAAGACAGAAACTTAACTCTCACAGAGACTAGAATCAGATTAAGTCAGAGAAAACATACCTCTGGTTTGCTGTCCACAACATCCACTTCAATATTGACTTCTGCCTGTAGGATTTTTTGTTTTGTCTGTTCAATGGCCAGGCTCAACTTGTTGATGTAAGACTGAAGTTCCTCTGCAGAGTCCATGTTCAGCTCCACTAAAGCTTTGTGGAATTGATCCATTTGACCATCTTCCAGAAGTTCCTACAGACAGATCAGAGCAGGCTGCGATGGATGATACATGGTAATCAAACACACACTAGCTACATATGTATACCTTGCCCATGTTATGGCAGACTCTGAATGTGCAGGCTCTGCAGCATTCAAAATACCTCACCAAAAAAGCACTATGCAGAACTTGCAGGTATCTCCTGCATCAATTCTTTTTTATTCTGTGAGTAACCTCAGAGATCTCCTATCAGAAAAGGCAGAGGATGGTTACAGCTTCTTTACAGCGATGCAGCACTTTCTAGAAAAGCTGTGAGGGCAGCCTGCACATCTCCCAGGAGACCTGACAAAAAACTGCCATCATTACCTGTACATAGAGCAGCCTGTCCAGCCTCTCCTGGTCCAGCTGCAGCTTCTCTTCTCTACGACGTGCATTGAGTTCCTGAAGTCTACGTAACTGCTGCTGCCGCCTCTCCTGCTTTTCTTCGGATGTCAGAGTGCTCCCCAGGAGTTTGTTAGAGAAGGGCAGCTGCATCTTGTGCACGTTGTTCTCATAGTACTCTGGTGAGCGCCACTTCTGTAGTTCTAAATATTTGAGAAGTAAAAGAACCATTTTGGCAGGTTGAACAGGATGATTCACACTCTGTACATGCTCCAAGCCACGTTCAGACTTAGGAGAAAGCAGGCAACAATCCAGCCCAGGATTCTGCCCACTTCTTGGCAGTCACTCCAAGAGTTATTTAGCTGCCTCCTCAGAGAACTGCCTTTAAGTCACACTCAGCACAAATGGTTCTTAGCACTCTCTTCTCCAGGACGAAGCAAACAAAGCACTGAGAAGTGGGAAGCATGCAGCCTCTTCTCTCTTTCCAATTTGAGAGCTCTCACATGTTTAAAACCACCGCAGGCTCTTTTGCATGTGATAAATTGAAGAAAACACTACTCTGTGGCCACTACTTGAAAACTGTCATGGAGATTTTAGAACTTCATTAATTCACAAAGAAGTCATGAGAACTCTCCTCAGCAATTTTGGAAACCTTAAAACAGATATGCAAAAACACCCACAGAGGAGAAACGTGGTCAGAAACAATCCCAACCATCTGAGCTTTCTGTCGGAAGCACAGAGTAAAATTACTAATAAAATAAATTCATTCTGACATCTGTAGAAATCTATCACTCACAAAGAAGTCTGAACTAACAAGGAACAGACTTCTAAAATTCAATCTTGTTTCACGAACTCCTGCAGAACTCAAACTGCTAATAAGCTTCTCACACGTAATGGATTACAGAACCCTCCTAAGAAAAATAAAACAGCAGTGGAGCATTTGTACCTGAATCCAAGTAGAACCTGAACAAGGGATAAAGGGGCGCAGAACCAAGGTTCAGTGAGCACTACTGATCAGTACAAGAAGTTACAGCTGGTTCTACCTTCTGTATAGTCCTCCGCAATGTAGCTGTGCTCATGCAGTATTTCCTCCATGCGACTGAGAGTGATGGCAGCAAAGTGCCCGGGGTACTTCAGCTGGAGGAGGCGCTGCAGGTACACAGCTGCCTGACAGCCTCCAAGATTGATACGCTTGCAGTTTTTAGCATCCAACCTGGAAGTCCAAGAGAAACAACCAAAATTGAAGAGCAGTTCACTGTGAAAGAGACCTCCTGTTCTATTCAGCATTACCATTTTAACATGGTCAAGCGGGGAGATACTTATGAGTAAATATTTTAAGAACCTGAAAGTCTTAACACATCTTTTGGTTTTTTCAGACAGCAGCCCTAAGCACTGCATTATTGCTTGCAGATGCAATTCTGGAAGGCTCTGTTTTAAAAAGCAAACAAATTAACAAACAAGAAAGCAAATAATTTTAGCTACGGCAACAGAAAGATATTGTTCTACTTTAAGAAGGGAAGCTATGATTCTGGGAAGCTAAAAGTAGCCCCTCTGGCCTATGTATGATTCCCAGTTGGCTAGGTCTGAGCCTTACAATTGGAAGCCTTTGCCAGATGTCATCAAGCCTCTTCCTGCAGTAAGGATTACAAAAAACAAAGCAAAACTAAACAAAACCTGAGCAATGGGGCCAAATAACCAGAATGATGAAAGTCTGGAGGACTGTAGAAATCTCACTGAGTGCTTTTTTTTTTTTTCCAAAGCAACTTTAAAACCTAACACTTTTTTTTTTTTGTCACCAGGTCATACTTAGGACAGATATCCTCACCTACTTTTTAAGTATGAAACTAAAAATAAAATATACACCAGGACAGCATTGATTCTTCAATTCAAAATTCAACTAGAGTAGTACATTGCTCTTCAGTATAAATTAGGACCTAGTAAGAATTTGTACTGCAGGAGCTGTAAGGCTGAATGCCAGAGGAACAGGTATTTTTACCACTGACAAAAAGAACCTAGCAGGCATCAGGACACTGAGAACTCACCTCCCTTCTAGGACCGGCAAAATATGCGTACACTGATAGCCTGAAGATATCACCAACCCACTGCAAGGCCAGTTCTGCCTCCTGTTGTGGTAAAAGCTGTACAAGCTATCCACACCATAGGACACTTTAGGAACTTGATAGCATTCAAAGAGGAGCTCTGACATCATTTGCCTTGAATACAAAGGATTGCACACTGCTTCCGTCAAAACTATTGGATGATCAACGCAACCCTGTTAGAGATAAGAGAAAAGGAGGAAAAACAAGATAAGATGGACAGAAAAATCCGAAGATACCTTTCCTCTTTTTAAAGATCAGCTTCAACTCCTCCAAACAGCAGATAGCACACGCTTTATGTGTGGGCTACTGAACACTTACGTTACACCCAGTGCTCAAGGGGAGAGTACTTGCCTACAGGTGGGTTCCCCCTACTAATTCAACCAAGGTATAAACTCCAAAATGTGAAGAAGAATGGATTTTAAAGGTATACTGAGTAAGTGGAACACGGGAAGCTCCATGCAAACACATGAAAGAACTTCACCATGAGGGAGCAGGGCCACGGGATAGAGCCTGCTTTCCACACGGGTTGGACTCCAGATGTCCCTTCCAACCCCCACAGTTAAAGACCTAATTAACCAAAATCTATACAAGGTGGAGGCAAAGCATGACTGGAAACTGCATTCAGTCCAGCCCTAGGTAAAGCTTTTGCATTATGTAGCTTCAGCAAGCCACCTAGGCACACAAAACATTTTCAATGGAAAACGAACACATTTCTAGTTAAGGAAACCGCATGAAGTCGTCAAACGTTTAATCTCTGTTTCAGGATGCGATCCCCGACGGCTGGTACCTGCGAGGAGACCCCCAGGCGCTGGAAGACGTGGTCGAAGAGCAGCTCCTGCAGCTCCAGCTGCACGGGCACGTTGCGGTCGAAGGGCGAACGGAGCAGCCAGCGCAGCGGCTCGGGGCTGCCCAGGTCGTTGCCCACCTGCGTCTCGGCGCCGGCCGCCCCGCGCGCCCCGCGGCTGCGCGCCGCCAGCGAGCGGAACCGCAGCAGGGGCTCGGCGGGGACCGAGGGGTCGGCGGCGGCCCAACCCGCCCGCGTTTGGAACGAGCCGTTGTCGATCACCAGCGGCACCGGCTGAGGGCTGCGCACGGCCGCGCTCGGCGCCAGCACCGGGTCCGGGGCCCAGCGCGCGTCGCGGAAGGCGAACACCCGCCCCGCCGCCATCTTGGGCGTCCGCACCGCTCCGGGCGGCAACGCGGGCTGCGCTCGGGTTCCGGGCTCTGCTCTTCTCTCAGAGGAGGACCGAGGAGGACTGAGCTGAGCTACAGAGCCCGCAGCCCCCCGCAGAGTGACACAGCAGGACCCCGTACCGTCGTAGTTTGCAGTAGCGCTAAAAACGAGGTCCCAAAGAAGCAGCGAGGCGAGGTGTGGCCATGCAAAGCCCGCAGGTGGATGAACAGCGCTGATCGCTGCTTGCTTGTCCTTACCTGATGATTTGGAGAGCCCTCGAGCTCAGCTTTTGTTCATCACTATTTATTAAGGAATTTTAGCATCTTCCATCATGTGCAGTTTAATTTGACCCGTAAACCTCTGCTGCTGCACAGCAGTTAACAGAGCAGCACGTCTTGGTGCTCGGGGAGAAGCGATGAGCACCAAGTTATCAAAGCCACCTGTCTGCTCCTAACTCAGCTCCGGCTGGGCTCCTTTGTGAGGCAATGTATACAGAGATGCGTGTCCTATTAAGCATGCTAGCTTGCCTTTCTTGGAGTGAAGGGAAACAGGAAGGCAATTAATGTTAAAGTATATTTTCCCGATGGATTCGCTATTAGATTGAAATATGCAGAGAAGGTTAAAAATGGGATCTGTGTTAAGGTGGGAAGTATATGTACTCCATGTCAAACAAGAGCACCTGGGATAAGCATTTTTTAACTAGCTAGTAGTTATGTTCTGAATCTCTGCAAGCCTGATTCTGTGTTGCTGATTTCTCAGAAGTTAGCTTCACTACCAGTTTCGAAGAGCAATTGAAGTGCTCGGTTATACCCCTCTATTAGAAGATATAAGAATCCCTTTACCTACCATTTTAACATCAGCCTTGAAGGCTTTCCAATTTATTCTTATCCTGTAATTACCAGCTGAAGCAGTGACAATCAAATCAGATGTTTTCCCAGGTCTCCTTATCGCGTTCTTAATCCGTTTCACCCCCTCCCTGCCCTTACAGGGCTGTTCCTTTTGCAATCCGTGCTGAGGATACCACTGGTCCTCTTGTGATTAACACAGTGATGCAATCAGAGTTATAAAAAGGTAGTTAGTAAAGAACAAGCAAGCTGCTCTAAACTTAGATTAACCTGAAGCTAGCAATGAAGTATCCTCCAGTTCCTTTGGTGACTGAGCTGACTTTGCCTGTTTTCTTTTGCCTTTCTTTGCCATATGTACTAACACTGATCATAGCAGTGATCTGGCTACGGCTCTTACTTAATGAAGGTAAGTTCTGCAGGTGATTGGATGCATGCATCTGTAGAAAGGCTTTGTCTCTATTAATTTCATCTGTAAAGCATTCTGTGAGCTACTTTTAGCCTAATGCCTCTCATCACAGAGGGAAAATAAGCGTGGTTTTTGTTTGTTGGTTTTGTACTTTTGGTGGCCTACAGAAAATTAAATGATCACACTTTTCTGTTAAAATGCTTATAAGACTAACTCCTGCTAGCTGCTTCTTTTTTCTTCAGAATTAATTCAATTTAAGAGAGATAAAAGTCAAATAACTTTTGTAGATTTCTATTTAAAAGAAATGGTTCCTAATAATTTGGCATGGTTTCAAACTCCCACATTATAGTTCATCTCTGTGTATTTTGAGGAGGGAGTGGATTTTATCAGGGGAGTTATTAAGGGCTTCTCTTATTAATGCTGAGTCTGATTTAAAAACAAAAAAACCAGTTTCTTAAAGAAGCAGGATGTGCATTTTCATTTATTTACTTTGTATCTCTGCTCTATCACTGTTCTTAATTCTAACATGTCAGTAACTAAGAAGCTTTGGTTTAGGCTAATAATAGGCTTGCTGATGTGCTCCTGGGCATAAAGCTTGGCTGGTTTTGCAAATCCTGGAACATAAGCAATTGCAGCCTAGGAATCAATCACAAGTCAATTCCAATCAGAAGCAGTAATTCTGCCTTTGACGGACAACTGTAGGAAGGAAAATAAGAACGAAAGCTGCCTTCAACAAGTCAGGTTCTTACTTAAAGTTGTGGTAACCAGTTCTATAACAGATCCTACAGGAGACAACCAAATGATTCCTTTGGGCCCACAGGCAGCAGTGGAGCAGAAAGCATTCATCACAGCTGAGGCTTATGTTCTAATCACCTTTCCTGCCCTGCCTTCGTGTACCCATGCATTTTCTGACTCTCTGTGCCTATTTTTCAGTTTTAATGTACAAGTGATGCTCAGAGAAATCTCTGCTTGTTGCTAGCTGTTTCTCCACACATCCAAGTGCACTCCTGTGGATAAGCAGTGACAGTGACTAAAGAGTGTAGGCTCTATGGAGCTATGATCATGGTACAAACTACCTAAGTAGCATAGGCACAGCTCATTTCTAATGTCTGAAAAGCAGAATAAAATGACCATGTGAATTGTGTAGGTAAAGGTTAGCTGTGCCTTGTTCTAACATTGAGTTTGGGTGTCAATTTTTTCCTGGACAGAGTAACTCTGAAATATTTTGATGCCTCTATTGATGTAAATTTTTTTCAGGGTACATGCACTGCATTTACCTTTATAATACCAGGCCCCAGGATGACCGTTGTTTGCATCAGGCTTCCATGATCTCAATTCCCTTTCAATCAGTAAGACGACATATATCACTAAGCTTTGATGTACTCTGTCACTCTTAAGAAGCCAAACAGAGCAATGCTCTTTTTAATGTCTTCTTGCCTAATTAAGTCATACCCACTTGCTTTATTCCCTACTTGTTCCTAGTGTAAAGTGGCATAAAATAAGTGCATAACTCAGCTTTGACTTTAATGTAGTTGCTGATTAAAAACTAATTGGTTAAAATCAATCACCTGTATAGGCCTCTTGCTGCCTAGCTGGGATTGAAAATCCTTAATTCCAGTTAAAAGGGATTCAGAAGAATTTTGTCCAGCTCTTGGATAGAACTACTAACTGTAATGTAACAGATTTCAAAATCTATTTCCAGAAGAGATGCCTCCTGCAGAAGAAACTAAGAATCAATCTCTGATTGCTGATGTGTCTCATTCTGAATCTAAACTTGAAGATGAACCAACAGATGATGAAAGCCAGCATGACACAGCAAGTCCAGAATTTAAAGAGGACAAACAATCTAGTGGCCCTGTGGGACAATCAAGGCCCAAACCTGCTTATCTGAATTCAAAAGCAAACTGCCATCTCAGAGGGCTGGTCCCAGAACCAAAGATAAAACCCTCCCATGTGGGAAGGAGCGTTCTCTGTAACATCACAATGGTGAGTGCACGACCAGACTCTCTCTTTGCATATCTGTTGCTTTTATGCCTCAGCTCGTATTATTTTGTTCCATCTCTGCCTGAGATATCTTCAAGACTGGTTTCTGCTTGGGTAATGAACAACAAGAGGTTTTCTCTCCCTGTCATCCCTATTTGGAATGATTCCTGTTGAATACCAACTGCAGGGAGTACAAAATTGAACAGAGTATGTACAGAATTGAACCATACATATGTACAAGTGTGTATGTATTATGAAGGTATGTATACATATTTGCAAAGTCTTTAAGAACTGCATGCAGTTCTTACAAATCCCAAAAGATATGTCTGAAAGAGTGGAAGAGATTAGGGTTGTGTGTGGCTTCTTTCCTTGCTCTTTGTATGCCCTGCTGCAGCAGGGGCTCAGAAGGCAAAGCTAGTTCCTGCCTCCTCTGTCTCTATTCTGTCCTCTCTACTTACATTGCCTGGATTTTGAATTGCAGCAACAGTTACCTATGTTTACTTCTACCAGCTTGGCTGGCTGCTTTGTTAAACTAGAATTGTCAAGGACTGGTATTGTCTTAAATTGCTGTATCTGTTTGACTAGCACACCCTGAAGCTGACCTTTAGCATGGAACAAGGAATATCTCATGCTAAACGATCTTTGACATCACTAATGCTAACAAGATAGAACAAGGGCAGTGTTGTAAGATTTGTTTTTAATTATTATTTTTCCATTATCGGTACTCAAAAACTAGAAGAAAACATGCTAAGAATGAGCCTGGAATTGCCTAGGTTACCTCTCGGCTCTCCTAGAACTCTTTGCATGTGCAAGCATTCACTTATTCAGAGCAGTCTGAAGAACTGGAGTTTAAACTTGTCCCTTGTAACATAAGACCTGTGACACCAACAGGCTGTGTTGGTTGTGTTGGGTGGACGAGAGAAGGGACAACCGCGTATGGTCTTGCATTATTTATATCCTGCTGAAAACTGAACATCTTCCAAAAATGTGATTTCCATGGCAATTCTCTTCCCCTTTTCTTCACCAGCTGCTGTGCTCCATGCTTTGTTCTCTCACTTGGACTTTTCTCAGCCACTTGCTCCAGATCTGTAATGTCCTGAGGATTCAGCTTCTGCCATCCTCTCTGGCTGTCGATGCGGCTCGGCTTTGTGATTTGCTGCGTGGAAATGTTGTGAAAATCCTGGGCTCCCCAAGGCTACAAAGCAGAGGGCTGTTAACTTCAATCTTGGGGATGAGATACAAGAAAACAGAACAGAGTGCAGCTCAGAGGACTGCCTGGAGGTAGAAATGAAGCCAGTAGTTCTATGACTGTTAGCAGCAATCCTGTTCAGCATCGGTGAAAGCTACTCCAGCATGGCAGGGAGAGGTTAATTCCCTAAAAAAGAAATGCAGTCTGGACTAAGCTGATGCACTCAGGTCACAACAGCTAATTTCCAAGTAAACAGTATTGACTGGTTCTGTGTTATTAAATGGACCACAGCAAGTAGTATCTCACGTAGAGCTTGGAAATGTGCTCTGCTACTCTCCTACTGCAAAGTACAAATCACTTTCAGAGTGGCTAAACACCCTTAGCATGTATGGAGCTGTGCAAATACACCCTTTTCAGCACGTGAGGTTGGATTCCACTACCAGAGACGGTCACTGCCAGCTCCCTGGGGCCACGAGGGGGCTATGCTGTAGTTCTGTCCCCTAAAGGTTCTTGAGGAGCCGTTTGCCCGTTGCTTTGACGCACGCGTTGCACAATTCGTCTGAAAAGACAAGTTGAAAATAGGGAGTCACAGCCTGGGAAGCGTGCTGCCGTTTGTCCCTATTCCTGAGGTGAAGGAAACTCTCCACAGCCCTGCATGGGGAGACTGTGTAACGGTTCTGCTGCCTGTAATTACGAAGCACGCCTTGTTTGCGTTTGCTTTTCCCACAGATGTCCACGCGTCCAAATATTTATGCAGGGCAGCATGCTTTTAAATAAAACTTGTTTGCTCGCTGTCTTTATACCCGTGGTCGTTTATTTCGAGGAGATATATGCGGATACGCCATTCATCAGCCGTTTGCTGAGCAAATCGCCTTTACGCATCCGCAGAGCTGGGTACCGCACCGAGCAGCGCGGCCGGGCCGCTGGGGGGGAGCCGGGCGGGGCGGGGCGGCTCCGAGGGGCGGGACGGAGCGGCGGGTCGCGGCGGGGCTGAGCGCGCAGCTCGGAGGCGGCGGGCGCTGCGGGTGACGCTCGGGGGAGCCGCGGCGGTGCGTGAGGGAGGGGCGGGCAGGGAGGGCGGCTGCTGCTGCTTTCGTGCTCTTCTTTCTCCGTCTTTCCTCGCCTTGCCCGCTATTGTTTGCAGAGCGCGTCCGGGCGACTGAGAGAAGAGCGCCGGTTGGTCTCCGTGTTTCTTTCCCCTTTTTCCACGCGGTCGCCGTGCGCGTAAGGGCAGCTGCCGAGCGCGGAGCCGCTGTGTGCAGGAGCTCGGCTCCCGCGGTGGGCTTTGCTCACAAAGGAGCCGCAATGTGCCGAGGCAGCCGCTAGCCCGCGGGGAAGGAGTTGGGAAACTGAGATGGGCAGGTAACCGGTGCCTGAATGTTACTGTTCGCGGTGATGCCTTAAAGCCCGGGAACACCAAAATATGTGTTTCGAGCAGTTTTTAGGCTGTGTAAATACTCTCGGAATAGCATTCTCGCGGCCGGGCCGCTGGCGCTCCCGGTGTCCCCGTAATAGCAGCGGGGTCGTTGCCCGAGGAGCTGCCCGGGGAGGCTGGGGGCACTGCGGGAATCACCGCCCGGCTGAACGTGCCGGTGGAACCGTGCGGCTTGGGGGTGTGCAGCCTGCTGAGAGGAACGCGGCCGGTTACTTCTGGGGAGCGAGCTTTATTTTTTTGCACGGGGCGAACGGTGTGTGAGTGTGACACGGAGGTGAGTCTGAGCATAGAGGTGGTTTGAACACTACAGCACAGATGCTGCGGTTCCTCTCTGTTAACGCGGTCTGTTTCTCCCAGGCAGGCTGCAGTGCCTGCCCCTGGGGCTTTGTGCGGTGTATGGAGCTCGCAGTAGACGTGGTGTGATTCCTCAGTTCCCTCATGGGCTGCAAGTACCTGAACGGCATCCATGAATTTGTACTTTGGTTTCCCTTTGCGTTATGAGCAGAAGCTGCTTTCTGGGCATCAGCAGGAGTGCTAGAGCACACAGAATTTGGGCAGCTGTAGAACTTCTTCCAGTGTTAGCTTGTTGGCAATGATTGCAAATAGAAGCTTCTTTGAAGTCAAGGCTCCTCTGTGGGTTTGGGTTCAATTCACCATAAGGACTGTTCACTTGGGGCAGCACACCGTTTTGTATGCACACAGCAGCCTTGGTCCAAGGGCACTCCTATTTACTCCCAAGTACGTACCTTCCTTCTAACAGTGTTCCCTCTCTCAGCTGTATTTCAGCAGTTTCTTCTGACTGAGGCAAAGCCTCCAGGGAGCCAGAAGCCTGTGCTGCTCTGTACCAGGTGTAGGTGTGTTATGACCTTTTGCGCATCACTCAATCTCCCTTTTTTTTTTTCTTCCTTCCTTCTTATTTGTAAAGCATTTACTTTGCAGGCATGTTGCAGAGATGGGGTTGGATAAACATTCTTAAAACTCCATCAGGAAGCATTGTGCACTGAAAAAGTTAGCAACCAGTTTTGCTCTCCACTGAGCTTCAAAGTCTGGAAGAAACTGCCGAAAGACCCAGACTCTACTTTCATGTAAACTGAAGTGACATAATGTGTTTTGGTGGATTTACGTGATAAATGTGTCCAGAAAGCAGCATGTCAGAGCACTTAGGGGTAAGGCAGCTGGGTGCTGCACTGCTGCTGGTTGCTGCCTTCTCCTGGAGGAGTCCTGGGGTGATTCAGCTGGGCTGACATCTGCTCTTGATGCTGAGGAACTGGGGTTTGTGTGTCCAGCTGTGTGTTGGAAAACAGTGCTCAGGATTTGGCTCGTGCCCCAAGAAGATGCAGCAGCAGCAGCGCTGCACTTGGGGTGCTCAGGAATTTGAGGTTGTGTTTTTACCAGAAATGTTGTTTTCCAGTGCTTTATATCAGTTGTCAAGGCATTACAAATTAAAAGAGGTGATGGCCCAGCGTGCCACAAGGAAAGCTATTGCTCCCTGTGAGTACACGGGAGTGCTGAGATGCAGCCTGCACAAGTGGCTCCTTCACATGTCCCAGCTGGCCAAAGCCCTCCACGTCCTCACTTCAGTGCTGACCCTGCTTTAAGCAGGGTGGGGAAGGAGATGGTGACCTGAGGATCCTTGCAGGAGTTGTGATGGTTTGGAAGCTTGCTGCGGCTGCACGAGGAGGGAGGATTCTTTTTTAAATCCTTTAAGACTTGGAGGTTGCAACATAAGATTGATATAAGGTTGAAGTTTAGTCTGCATTTGTACATCTTCTAGGCTCTTTGTTTAGTGAAACTCTAGCTTACCTGGGGAAGTCATGGCCCACATGCTTCTATTTGAGCAGTTGAAGTGCTGCATAAAAATGTCTTGGTCCTGACATAGTGTTTGAGCTTTCCTGTTGTGAATGTAAAATCCATATGGTGTTGCTTCTTAATTGAAACCTGGTGGAGTTATTTTTAATCCTGCAACATGTTATATGAAATAGTCCTCATGCAGCTGACTTGAAAGGATTGCTTGTAATTAGATGTTTCTAATCAGTCGGTATTTCTTTCTGTAATGCTGTTTCTTTCTAACAAAAGTGATTTTGATTTGTTTACTAAAAAGCAGCCTCCAGCTCACCAGTGCCAGGCAGGAGTGCGAGTTCTGCTTATCAGTGAGATATTAAATAAAACAGGAAAATAATAACTGAAAAAACTTCCTATATATCAAATATGGCCTGTATGATTTACTCATTACGTTATGCCCCAGGCTTTAGGTAGAAGTCAGCAGCATGGTTAATGATGTGGATAAGTCCTTCCAGGTCTGTTGTGCATTGAAAAAGCTTGTCTGAACTCAAAACCCATTGTTTGAAAATGTAGGACTCTAACTAGGTTTTAGGTTTGGATGTTTATAATACTTTCTGGTATTTGCTGTTTGGTAAGACCGTTAGGTCAGCTCGCAGGGGAGCGCGTTCTGTGATTGCGAAGAAGTTTGGAGAAAGAAATACAAAAGCTGATGTAGCTTAAAGCATATTCCCCAAAGCAGATTACTCCAGGAGTCTGGAATGTGTTGGTGGGAGGTTATTCAGTTTTAGTGAAATGTTGCTCTGTGCATGCAGGAGTTCTTCCCCTCCTAAATAATTATTTCCATCTGCATTGCATGTTCCACCGGTGCCTGGGCTGTTGAGCTCTGTGCAAAATCTGAGGCTCTTGTTAAAATGAGTGTCTTTGTCACCAAATCTTCTGTGCTAGCTTTGTACAAGTGAAATGTTGGTATCGCATGGAAAATTAGGAGGGCAGTCCTCGCTGGGGGGCCTCTTAAAGTAAGCCACGTTCTGGTCTCTTTTTCATGTCCTCTTAAAATTTAGAGATTGGAGCTCTGGGACCCTCAAATCCTCTTGCATAATGCCTGGCAATACTAATGTTAATTCACTGGTCTGAGTTAATCATTTAGTTTTTAATTAATATGAAATTGAGTCCCTTTGTTATAACTGGAGATGTCCCAGACTGCTCGAATACTGTGGCTGCTGATGTGTGAGTGTCCACCTGAACGAACACACTGCCATCCTATGGCAGAGCCCGGACATAGGAGATAATCCTGACTATGTTGTATGGCTGGGACCCAGCACTTTTGTAACGGCTTGGCTGAGACCCAAGCACGTTTCTGCTGCAGGAATTCCTATTTGTTGATTGTTGTAGTACTGAAGTGCTGATCTCTGTGTTCTTTTTTGCCCTTGTGCAGAACATGCCTCCTAGGATGATGGACTTGGATAGAAGTGGAGGACTGCACCAACATGTTACTGTTAGGCGTACTGTTAGGAAGGATCAAGGAGGTGAGGAACACAAAGGCAGGGTCCTGTCTGACCATCACTCTCTTAATGTTCAGTACTAGCACAGTGAGCAGCCAGGGCATTGCTGGAGTAGTGACAGCAAGTTCCTGATCAAGTGGTTGTGTGTTGGGTTTTTTGCTTTTTTTTTTTTTTTAACATTTATCCCTGCCAGATTACCTAATGCAGCACCAGAGCCATTATAACTAAGAGCCAGTATAATGACATACATTGTGAGTGTTCATCATTCCTTCAGCTGAGAGGCTGTATCACATCTGCACTCTTCTCTCTGAAGCACCTCAGTTGATGGCAATTAGCTGAGGTCCAGTGAGTGCCTGTTTCCTGGAGGAAGTGGTGTGGCAGATGTCTTCATCTTCAGTTCCTGCTGAACCTTCACTGGCCTTCATCTGCCATGGAGAACACCTGGGAAGTCTGCTTCCTTTGGCTAGCCTGTGGTGTGTGTTCTGTGGGATGGCTGAGCAGTGGTACTGACCTGTTGCCTTGGTTTAAACCCCAAAGGGACTGCTGAAAATAATCCGGGTTTCTTGAGTGTCTGTTAGGCCTTAGGCCTGTGGCAAAGAGTAACACAGCTGGGCATTGCCAGTGAGAAGTTGGTTCCCTTGCATTGCTGCATGGGGTGACTTCATAGCACAGAAGAGTGGTTTCCTTGTCGGTGCGGTGGGGAGGGAGGCTGGTGTGATATCCAACAGAACGTGCAGCTGGCTAAGGTCATATGTCTGAAGCTCGAAATTCTGCTTCATTGCAGGGCTAAAATAATTGAAAATATCCTTTATCATCCAGGAGGGGAGATGACTGTGTGCATCGTGAAGGTGGTGTCTGTTCTTTGTCTGGCTCCTCTGTAGTGCAGGAGGAGTTAATGTAAGTTCTTGAGTGAACAGGAGCCTGTAGCTCTTGGTAGGACCATAGCAGGTGGCCAATATATAATGGAATTGGAAGGATATCCTCTTTTGGCAGCAAATAAATACAGCTTTGCTGATGAAAGTTGTTTTTCTCTGTCAAGGTAAAGCTCAGACAATGTTAATGTTTGAAAACAACAGGGCTGACACAGTGGAAGGAAATCCTTTCATGCCTCATAGCGGAAGGTAGGCATGATGCTGCAGTATGTACATCCCTGCAGCTGATATGAGATACAGT